CCCTCCCGCCCGCCCTCCCTCCGCTCCCGGTTGCGCAGGATGCCGCGGAGGGGCGCGGAGGCGCCGCTGGCCCTGCTGCTGGCGGCGGCGTGGCTGGCGCAGCCCCTGCGCGGGGGCTACCACGGCGGGGGCATGTTCGCCGTGCAGACGGCTCAGCCCGACCCCTGCTACGACGAGCACGGGCTGCCCCGCCGCTGCATCCCCGACTTCGTCAACTCGGCCTTCGGGAAGGAGGTGAAGGTGTCGAGCACCTGCGGGAAGCCGCCGTCGCGGTACTGCGTGGTGACGGAGAAGGGCGAGGAGCAGGTCCGCTCCTGCCACCTCTGCAACGCCTCCGACCCCAAGCGCGCCCACCCGCCCTCCTTCCTCACCGACCTCAACAACCCCCACAACCTGACCTGCTGGCAGTCCGACAGCTACGTCCAGTACCCCCACAACGTCACCCTCACCCTCTCCCTGGGCAAGAAGTTCGAGGTGACCTACGTCAGCCTGCAGTTCTGCTCGCCGCGCCCGGAGTCCATGGCCATCCACAAGTCCATGGACTACGGCAAGACCTGGGTGCCCTTCCAGTTCTACTCCACGCAGTGCCGCAAGATGTACAACAAGCCCAGCCGCGCCGCCATCACCAAGCAGAACGAGCAGGAGGCGGTCTGCACCGACTCGCACACCGACGTGCGGCCCCTCTCCGGCGGCCTCATCGCCTTCAGCACCCTGGACGGTCGCCCCACGGCCCACGACTTCGACAACTCGCCCGTGCTGCAGGACTGGGTGACGGCCACCGACATCAGGGTGACCTTCAGCCGCCTCCACACCTTCGGCGACGAGAGCGAGGACGACTCCGAGCTGGCCCGCGACTCCTACTTCTACGCCGTCTCCGACCTGCAGGTCGGCGGGCGCTGCAAGTGCAACGGCCACGCGTCGCGCTGCGTGCGGGACCGCGACGACAGCCTGGTGTGCGACTGCAAGCACAACACCGCCGGCCCCGAGTGCGACCGCTGCAAGCCCTTCCACTACGACCGGCCCTGGCAGAGAGCGACCGCCCGGGAGGCCAACGAGTGCGTGGGTGAGTCCCGCGCCGCCGGGCAGCGGGGCGGGGGGGGGGTGGGGGGAAAGGACAGGGGAGAGGGCGCGGAGGGGCCCTGGAAGGGCAAGGAGAGGGAAGGGAGAGCGAAAGAGCCGGCGGGGGACGGGGAGAGAAAGGCTTGGGGACATCTAGGAGCCGGCAAGAGACGAGAAACGAAAGAAAGGCAGGGGGAGAGTCAGGAACCGGCAAGGGACAAGGGAGAGAAAGGCAGGGGGACAGTCAGGAACCGGCAAGGGACAAGGGAGAGAAAGGCAGGGGGACATCCAGGAACCAGAGGGACATCCAGGAACCAGCAAGGGACCTCGAGAGACAAGGGAAAGAAAGGCAGGGGGACATCCAGGAACCAGCAAGGGACAGGGAGAGAAAGGCAGGGGGACATCTAGGAACCAGCAAGGGACCTTGAGGGACAAGGGAGAGAAAGGCAGGGGGACATCCAGGAACTAGCAAGGGACAGGGAGAAAAGGGCAGGGGGACGTCCAGCACCCGCAAGAGACCTTCAGGTACGGGGACTCAAAGGCAGGGGGACATCCAGGACCCGGCAAGGGACCTTGAGGGACGGGCAGCGAAAGGCAGGGGGACATCCAGGGACACGGCGAGCAGCACGGGGACATCCAGGGACACGGGGAGCGGGGCAGACGCAGGCAGGGAGACGGAGAGCAGGACAGGGGGAGGACACGGAGGTACCGGGGAGCGTGGGGCAAAGGAAGGGACAGCGAGGGACCCCGCAGCGCGGAGCAGATGAGAAGGCACTCGGAAGCGCAGGGACGGGGACACCGAGGCTCCCGGCACCACAAGGCAGGGGACACTGAGGCACCCGGGTGACAACACCGAGGGACACCGACGTGTAGAGTGAGGGGCACGGGGAGCCAGGGACCACCGGGCTGGGAACGGCGAGGCACAGGAATTTGGGGCAGGGGATACCGAGAGCCACGGAGGAGCGGGACGGGGGACACCGGAGGCAGCCGGGGAGAGCAAGGCGGGGGACACGGAGGGACCCGGCGGGCAGGACGGAGCACAGCGCAGGACCCCGCATCGCGGAGGAGACACGGAACCGCGGGGCAGGGGACACCAAGGAGCTCAGGAGAGGGGAGAAGGGACGCTCAGGAGCCCGGGAAAACACCGTTCGTGCCCGGAGAAGCTCTGGGGAGCCCTGGCTGGGAAGGGTTTCCCGTTCCCCGCAGCTCCCGGCCGGGGGTCCCGCAGCGAACGGAGCAGGGTCCGGTCCGCCGATCCCGGCACTCGCCGGCAGCCCTGCTCCCTCCCCCGGGGCACCGGCTCAGGGCCCCGCCGCACCGCCTCCGGCTCCCCCGAGAGGCTCCGTGCCCGGACGGGACGGGATCGGGAGGACGGGAGGCGGCCGGGAGCTGGGGGGGCTCGGCAAAACCGGCGGCTCCCGTCGCTGCATCCTGAGGGGGTGCGGGAGGCCCCGGGGGGGCGGTGGAGGTGGCGGCGGGGACTTGAACGAGCCCCAAGGCCAAATGAGAACCGGGGGGCAGCCGGTTCGCTCCGACTCGGGCGAGAAACCCGCGCCGTCCTGGCTGTAAGCGAGCCCCAGCCTCCGGGCTGTCCCCGCGGGGGGGGACACGGGCTGTCCCCTGCCTCTGCCCGGGGTGGCCAAGGGGGAAGGATTTGGGGTGTCCTTGAGTCCCCGCACGTCCCACCTACGGCTCCCCCCGATCTCGCAGCCCCTGCTCCCCAGGGATCAGCCGTGTCCCGGTGGCTGAGGGTGACCCGGGATGAGGCCCGGGCTCGGTTCGGGTCTCTGCACCGGGACCCCCCGGCCCCCCCAAGCGCGTCCTCGGCCCCCGCCGCCCGCTGCCGCCGCCTTGTTTACCCGTAAAACACGGCCCCGTCTTCCAAAATATTTGCAGCTCCGACGATAGGAAAAAAAAAAAAACAACCTCGCCGAGCGGCCGGGAATGGGCTTTTTTTTTTTAATTTCGCTCTTTTTTTTTTTTTTTTAAACTTCCCCCCCCCACCAAATCACAATCAGATGTGTCCCTTGCAGACAGCGCGATTTCTTTGCCCGCGCCTTCAACCCCGAGGCACGGTCGCCCCTGGGTGATATGGAGGGGAGAGGGGTCCTGCAGCCCGGGGACACCCGGGGCACAGGCGGTGGGAGAAGATGCGGGGGTCCCGGCAGCGGGAGGGGATGTTCTGCCCCGGTCCGGAGCCTCCTCTCCCCGCCGGGCCGCGGCTCACGTCGGGGCGGAAAGGGAGCACCCCCGGGGCGGGGGGAGCGGCGGGGAAATGCCGTTTCCCGGAGGGGAGGGCGGTGGGTGCCGCTGGGATGTGCCCACAGCGCCGAACCGGGGTTTATCTCCGGGTTCCTCCGTCCCGTCGGGGTCCCTCTGCCCGGCAGCCGTCGGGGTCTTGATTATCCAGGTCTTGATTATTTCCCATCGCCGCCCCAGTGCTGCCTCTTCCTCAGCATCAGGCCCGGGGGAGCAGGAGGGGCTCGGCTCCCCCCAGGCTTCTGTCCCCTCTCACTGGCAGGGACGAGTTCCCTGCCTGCAGGGAGAGAGTTACAGCTACCCATGATGCCGAAAAATTTGGTGCGATCTCAAGGTGCTTTTGGGCACTTGGTCTATTCTGAAGGGTCCTAAAGTGCTCCTGAAAATGCTTCTGTTCAGTTATTATTCTGGCCCCGTGCACTTACCGGCCTGCTCCCTTCCAATTTACTTCCAATAAAAAGGAAACGAGTTCCCAGTTTCCAGTAAAATGTGTGACTTTCTCGCCAGGTTTTGCATTTCAGACCCTGCACAGCCCGGGTCACGTCAGACTTTTACGAAAGAAAATCACCAAGTTTTCTCCTTTTTTCCGCCGACTTTGCTGGGAAGCGAACGTTTCGCAAGGATGGAGCTACAGGAAAAGAATTTTCCTGGGCCCGTTTCTTCCAGGCGTTCCCCGGGGCTGTACCTATCCCCCTGCAAAACCAGCCACCACCAAACAACTGCCTTGCCCTGCCAAGCCCACACCGCCTGGAATAATCCCCCCCAGATAAAGATCACAATAACCCTATTCAGCTCCCACCCACTCCTTCATGACCATCGGCCCACCCCGGTTTCTCTCCTAAATCCAGAGAGAAGGTTGGGTTTTGTGGTCACCCGAGGGCTGCACCCAGCCGTGGTGGGGCAGAGGCAGGGGACACTGAGCTGGTGGTGACTCCACCGGCCGCGCGCTTGGAGGCATCTTCAACCAGATCCTCCTGAGCAGCAGCGGTGAGGGGAAATAAGAATTAGCCAAATTAGCCGAATTCGCCCCAGGCAGTGGTGTAAGAACTTAATTGCAATTTTTTTTTTTCCACTGAATTTGCTCCTTTTTTTTTTTTTCCTGGAAAATTTTGTTGGGTTGGCGGGGGTTTTTTTGTTGGGTTTTTTTTTTGTTTGTTTGTTTTTTCAACTAGGGAGAAAAATGATAGAATGTGTCTGCTTTGCTTAAAAATTTGGGTGTTTTCTTTGGTAAGGCCATTCCCCCTGCCAAAACCGAATCTTTGTTCCTATTCATGCTTATTTGGGCCTGAAAAAGAAACACGCTGGAGTTTCTGACAAAAAGTCAAAATTTCCCACGGGAACTTTTTTTGCCAGCCAGATCTAATTTTTCTTTATCACTTCGTGCTGCCTGCAAAGAGCCCGGGCACCGCACACGGAGAGGACAGGGCCTGGCCCAAGGAGATGTTCTCAAGGGATCTGGTCCTGCAGAAGGAGCCCGGCCAGCAGAGCTTTTCACAGATCCAGGTTCCCATCAACTTTACCTGGCAAATAACTCATCCACGTAGAGCTTGGCCTTACAGCCTGGCTTTGGCCGAGTTCCTGGGAGCAAACACGCTCCAGGGAGGACACAGCTTGGAGACAAGCTTGGAGGTCTGTTCTCCATCCTCCCTCTCTCCAGCGTCAGGCCGGCTCCATTTGCTCAGCCTTAGGTCCAGCCCAAGCCCCCTTGTCTCCAAACCAGTTTGTCCTGACGAAGCTTCCAGCTCCCCCGTGAGAGGAGTTTTGCAGCTGTAAAAGGCCCGAACCAAAATGTTGTCAGAGGCTCAACCGCCGGTGAGCTCGTGTGGACACGTGAAAATGCAGGCAGGGGCTCGGACCAGATTCAGCCACATCAATAAAGTGCAATCAGCGCCCTTCCACGATTTCTCACGAACTGCAGCGTTATTTGGAGCGATGGAAACGAGCATGGACTCTGAACACTCCCTTCAGTTTTCATAAAATACCTTCACGTTTGCCTTGGCCGGGGGAAGTGCTGCTCAGACCAGCCCAGGCTGCAGCCCCCTGACAGGCGCCTTGAGAACGACCTCCAGACCCAGTTCCCAGTGCCGGCCCCGGTGCTCCCCCAGCCCTTTTCCCCCTCCATCCCCCCTGCCTGGGGGGGCTGGGAGATGCACCCAGCACCTGCAGGTCCCCCTGACGTCAGTGGTGTCTGCAGGTGCTGGGCGCCGGGCGGGTTTTTGGCCCCTCCGCGATGCCGAGAGAGCGTTTAACAATAACAAGGGCGACTGCAGGGGAGAGAAAGGAAACATCTTGTGTTCTCAGATAGGGGATTTGGCACAAGCCCGGGGTGAGACAGGCTCCGCTCCGCGCTGCAGCGGGGTTCCCAGCCTGGGATGTGTCTCATGTCAGAGCGATTCGCGAGCGAGTGAGTCTCTCTCCTCCAGCTAAAAGGAATCTTGCATCTCAGACACAGAAGGGACCGGGAACTGCCAGAGAACAGCCTGCCAAACATTCCCAACGAAAAACTTCCTCCCAGACAAACCTGGGGCTTTAGCATCTCAGTTGGCGGTCCAGGGAGGCATTTGCAGGGAAGGGCTTCCTCGAACAGCCGGTGGGCTCCCCTCCGTCCCCCGCTCCACCAGGAAAATCAGATCCTTCCACGGCAGCCAGCGCTTCTCACTCCGGTCCTGCAGAGGGATGTAAGGGCTGTGGGATTTCCTCTTGGGGAGTTCCTCGCATCCCTTATTAAATTTAGGTGATCCTTTT